AGATTCTTGCTCGCCGGAATCATCTAAGCACCGGTGCACGCATAGCTTCCTCTGCTGCTGCTCCGGAATGCCTCTGCACTCCATGGCGCAACGCTTTTTCTCTGGATCAGATCTGGAGGATGAAGCCAAGAGGCAGCTGGAGGAGAGGAGCAGGAGGAGAAGTGGGAAGAGGAAGGCTTCGACTCTTCTGGTGGCCATTTCGCTTTGGCTTCTGGTCTTTGCGGGAGATGGATGTGTGATGCAATGTGAATGGCTAAGCGGATATTTATAGAGTTGAGAGAGAGAGAGAGAGAGAGAGAACGAAGCGGGTTCGCCTCAGGACGCTCGGCCGCGTGCAATGTGCATGGCTCGGCGTGGAAGGAAGGGAACTCACGTGGAGCGTATGATTTGGTCGTCGGCCACCGAGTCGTAGGCCACCTGGTTCTATCGATGCCAAGGACCCTTGAAACTAAATCGACGCTTCTCGTGGACTACTCGTTAATGATCAACTTTTACTGCCATAGACCCTTGTAGGGTCCATGCAGTTGGGTTTCTAAACACGAGCAGGAAAGCAAATGGGTGGTTTACGAAAAGCTATTTCCGTCTTGTGATCGTCATGTTGAAAGATTGCTCTCAATAGACAGACGATTGCAGCGATGACCAGCAGATAGACTACAGAAGTATCGTTACTCCTTAATTTGGGACCGTTAATTTAGAATTAAATATTTTGGATCATTGGAGTTTAATGATATTATCGTTCATTTGAGATTAAATATTTCATGTCAATAGTTCAAACACAACGAAAATACTATCGACGCTAATCCAAAGCTTGTACGAAAAAAATATAGAGAATTACTTTATGAATTTCAAGTAGCTGCAATAAGTTTCAAAAACGGATTGTCACTCAAAAATGAGGTATAGATAATAAAAAGCCAACTTTGAGTGACTTTGGCTGAAATTGACATTTTGGCCTTTGACATGTTAAATGCTGTTTAGACTGCATATAACAGGAATAATTTAATTTTTCTTGCAATCAACAGCTGTGGCTCTCCTATGATCTCACTTGGTTTAAGATGAAATTTAAAGGTTCAAACAAAGAAAATGGGATGATTTTTCTATAAAAAAACCTTTTTAAAGATTTTTTTAAATACACTAAATGCTTTTTTTATTTTAGTATTTGATGTCCCATTTTTCTCTAATACACTAAATGCTTCTCATCATTGCCACCACCTTCTTAGCGTGGCCATTGTCAACTATCATCTCCACCCCATCGTGACCACCTTTCGTCTCACCGTGATTACCTTCACCCTTTGCTTTGACCCCACCGACTCCTTTCCATGCGCACCCACGAGGCTCCTATAGATTTTCCATAAGTGGGTCTGGGTGGAAAAAAAATACCAAAGGAAAAAATTAAAGGTAAAAAGATCCTTTGGTAGTCATTTAGGAACTCATACAATCATCCACAAATTAAGAATTCTAATTCAAGCAACTGAAAATAATTCTTGAATTTGATTATAGAAAAAAAATCCCTTGTTCCAATTTCCAAACTACACCATTCCCTCCACTTTTACCTTATATATGAAACTCCAACACAATCCACCTTGCTGAGAATGACATCACTTGTTACCGCCAGATTGACGGGAACGACAAACGTTCTACAAAGAAAATCCTGTCTTCCTCCGATTCATCTGTTTCAGCTCCCACAAATATTTATGCAATTCATTCAGATTCACCACAGAAAAATACCTAAAAATCATAACTGTAACAATATAAAACTGCGACAAACCAGTGTTCAACAAAATTCTTCAAAATGCAGATAGAAATCCACTATCAGAAAACTTTTAACATCAATAAAGGATTATAGGCAGAGCTCAGCATTAGACCACTCACTATTAGATAGATAGATCTTACTTACGTTGCCATAGAGTTCTACAAAAGTCTTATGGTTTTGACTCACTAGAAACGAATTACTTCTGAAGAACCTTTGAAATGCCTCTTATAGTATTTGGAGTAGTCCTGCAACAGCCGCCAATGAGGCAGGCTCCAGCTTCACACCATACCCTTACATAAGAGACAAAGTCCTCATCCGTAACACCGGTGGATGTCTGCAATAGATTAAGGATCACAATTAGCAGACTCGATCTTCACCAGCACATGTTCTTTCTTTAACAAAAATGAAAAGAATAAGGACATGGTATTGCCATATGCTACCACTTGAGGTACCTACCAATACTTGGATGCTATTACAGTGACAAACTATAATCACTTGGATAGGCTATTAGTAACATGATATTCATTGAAAGATGAGATTTTGAGAAACTGATCGTTAGGCCATGGAAATTTCCCCGACTGCCACTCCAGTAGTTCAGTGTACAAAACCGTAAGTTTCTGCTAGTCTTCGCTATGCTCTATTAACATTGGAATACATTTCAAATAAAGCATGATTCAGTCCTGACATCTTTCAACTTAAAAACAGAGTATATAAAGAGAAATAAAAACATTCAAGATATGTCTATAATAGCAAATGAATTTCCATTGAAAGTATAGATTTCTCTTTACATAGGTAAGAAATGCATAGTCATGATTCACCAAATGATCATAAACTAAAAAATTATTCCTAGTCCAAGTAATACATAGACACCACAAAAAAAATTAAAAATCAACAAAGAAATTAGCAAAACACTAAATTATATTTCCATCTATAAAATTGCCTCTTATGAGACATCAGAATGCTGGCATCAAGTTTTTAATTGTCAACTTACCACCCATTCCTTCTTTTCAGCATCATATCTCTCTCCACTGTTTGGATATATCAGAATTGGTTTCTTCGTCACCTGCAAATTCGATGATAATTCAACACTATTACAAAGTTAAATGCACATCACACATTGTGCAGAAATTCCATCCAAAAGATATCATGGCCGCAATCAAACACCAAAGAATTGGATGAATGCAACTTTGCCGGGGAAATTGAGGTGATTACAAAATATAGTTGAGAATTTTCTGTCATTGTTTGTGTTTATGGTACAAGAAACAAAGATTTGTCGCCCAACATAATTAGAGCATATTAGCTGGAAAGGGCCAATACTATTTTATGATGCATCCTTTTAAATCTAGAGGCTTCAGGATTGAGGTTGAAAATATAGTTTACACAAGCAGGAACCTCCAAGAATTGAGTTAGCAGATGTGAGGTTATCAGTGACAAGTGGAACATATGTACTCATTTTGTGCACAATAAATAGAACAGGATAATATGACATGACAGCAACAAGATTAGATTGGTCACCTGCCACTTAGCAAGCTAGGACTATAATAAAGATTAAGAGAGCGATTTCCCCAAAATTATCAATACAGTTCAAAGCAAAGAAAGCGGAATGGAGATTGGTAATTAATAATTGACAGCATCAGCTTCATGGCAATGATAACTTATAGTCTACCTAATAATCCTACCAAGAAAGGACAAGTTGCACCTGAGACTTCAATTGAGTCGCTACTGGGACAAATCATCTTGTATACAAAAGTTGTTAAGCCACTAAGATTTGAAGTTCAGGGTGTTCCTAGTTGTTAAGCCACTAGCAGTTTTCATAATTTGGTGCTTGCAATAAGAATATGAAACAAATATAATTTATGAATGACTATTCATAATAAAAAAGTGGAATCCAGATATATACATTTGCTTTCTCTAAGTGGCAAGCATACAGTAGTACCTTCCTAATTGAGAGAATTAATCCCTGGATGAATCTTGGGGGGGTGCAGTTTATTCCAATGGCAACAACCTTCTTGCATGAATCAGCAAGAGAGGCACATTCAATCAATGAATCTCCGCTGACCACATTAACGCCGTCTTTTGAATTAAAAGAAAACCAAGCTGGAGTCCTTGTATTATTTTCCTCAAGAAGTTCAGCATATGCCTGTTAAATTACAGATAGGAAGATATGATGGAATTTAAATACATCAACCAAATGCAGCAGTTGATGAAGTTGGTACTAATTGCTCTGCCGTGAAATCATTTCTCTATGAATGACAGGCATATTATTTAAAAACAGCTTGGGGCCACCAGAATTGGACATACTTTCATGGGTTCTATAATGTGGGCATTCAGTCGACAGACACATAAAAGCTTACTGAACTGCACACTGAACTGGCATTTATCCTCCGTTAAAAATTGAGGAGTATCAAATTCATATCAGGGCATAATATTACATATTGGACAAGTCTAAAAGCTTCAGATGATATTCCAGGACGAGCTAAAAGCCACACTTATACTTATTCACTTACAACAAAAATAAGGTATTTTCTTTAAGCAAAAGCACCAATCTAGGCAGGAGTGGTCTCTAGATGTCCAAATACTTGCAGACCTCATAGCTTCGGTGGTAAAAGATAGTGCTTCAAATGATAATGTTGTCGAGATTTTACATCAACTTATCAGTTTGAACTAATGGAAATTTCGGCAATTCAAAAAAGATAAAGTGATTCAAGAAATTTCTAACACCATACTCAACACCGCAGAACATCCTATCCAAATTATTCATGGTAATACTAGCCAAATCGCAGACACTTCTGCACAACACAAACCTTCTTTTCCATCCAACAGAAACAAATGGATCAAATGAAGATGGATGAAGCACTTGAATGGATTGGGAAAAATATAATTCTCCAAAAGGAGTAGAGGGATCATAAGTGGATCAACACCTGATCTGGGAATAGCTCAACTGTGACTCTAAAGTTGCTGGAGTTAGGGTTAGATCTCTAGAGAGGCCTCAGGGCAGAACAGGTCGAAGGGAATAATATCATCAAAGGTACAATCTTATTTCAGTGAGAGATTTTGGTGAAGGATTATTGATCGAAGGATTATTGATAGAAGGTTCTCTTGCAGTAAATAAATTCAAATACACCAACCAGCTACCCTGGTGGTTTGTGTACTCGGACTCACCACAGTGCCTTGTGTGCCACTAGTACTTTCGTCCTCTGTATGAGCTACTTCCCCCAGGTGGGGTGTCTATGTGAAAAGTACTTATGCTGGGGTTTTAAGGTACAACAACAATTATACAAACATGTTAAATAAACAAATCAAAGTGCATAGCTAATGCAAAAATAACTCTCCAATGAACTTGCTGAAAGAGATTGCAAGTTTAACAATTGCAATCATATCAAATAGAACCACCTGAGCTTCCAATTTATTAGGAATTGTTTCAAAAGCAATTAAATCAGCACCAGATTCTGCAAGGACTTCAACTCTTCTCCTGTGAAAATTCTTCAACTTTTCCAGGGTCATTTCTTTGCTATATTCCCCACTAGCAATATCAATCACTCATCAGTAAGAAGCAATAAGTGGAAAAAATTTAGTAATGAAGTCCTCAGATGACCAACCTATACTCAGAACCATCTGCTAGATATGCTCCGTAGCTTCCTATAGAAGCTGCCACCAATACAGTGTGCTTCTTAGTTTCATTATGATTTTCAAATCCTTTTGAGCACCCTTTATAAAATATATCACGTGCTTCACATGCAATTTCAGCACTTTTCTGCAATAAGGCTTCACTTTCTTCTGCAGAGAAGCCTCTTGATTCAAAACCCTGAATGGTAGCCTGCTCTAACAGAAGTCAGCATAGATAAGAGTTCACCAAAAGATGAATCATCAGAAAACAAAAAGCAAGTTACCTGATAGGATGAAGTGATTATAATATTTGCACCAGCTTCAAGATAGTCCAGATGGACCTGTCCAATAAGGTAAAAGAAAAAGGTGCTTCAGGGTGCAGATGCAGTGAACTCTAGCTTCTTCAGAAAAAGGAAAAATGATGAAGCAACATGTGGAGGGAGTAATTTCCAAAGGAATTGATTAGTTCCTATATAATGATGAATGACGACCTACAAGAAATTTTATAATTTTCTCATACACTAAACCAAAAAGACACAAGCACATCGACTCCCATAATAAACTCATATAATACACATTCTTATTGCTACCACCAAACTATAGTTGGATTGATCAGGGACGATCTCAGTACTATTCTACCTTGTTCGGTCAAGCAAAGCCTAAGCCCAAGAAACAGTAGCCCTCTCACCTTAATCCAAGTCCTAATAGAACTCCGATTAGGGCAGCCCTCATCCAAATAAGGACAGCCACCAAGCAAGTGGGATGCGACAGCCATACAAGGAAAGTTGTAGCTGTGCACGCCCTACAAGGGAAATCCTAGTTGTTGTGCCCCACAAGGAAAATCCTTAGACCTTAAGGATTTAGTGCACCCCTCTCCCTATAAAAACAAGGCGTGTGCCTCCATCTAAAGGAAATCAAGAAAATCCTTTAACAAAGAGCTAGTTAGCCTTAGTTTTGCAGCCTTAGAGCAGTGAGGAGAAGAGAGGGAAGAATTCTGCACTACTGCAGCCAACTTCTTCCAACCACAACCTTTTTCCTCACGTTCCAGTAGCCCAAAGCTTCATTTAGCTACTATGAAAAATCCTCAACGCCTACTGCATGCTGTCCAAACTTCAAGAGGAGGTTCCAGCAACAAAGAGAGGAGGAGATTAAAGATCGGCAACAATTGCAACCTATTGAGAGCACCAACGTGTTGTCCAAAAACAAATTGTGTTTTCACGCGCCCATAAGCTTTCTTTCACGTTTCTATTTCTATTGTTTCAAGTCTTGTAGTTAGGACTTTGACTTTATAAACAATAAAGGCTGTTTGCTTTCGATTTCACACTTGGTTTTTTTGTGATAATTCTCTTTTCCACCAAAAGTTTCATATAAAAGGTCGTATCGAGTCAACAGAATGTCAAACCCGAATCCCCTACAGATCAAGTGGTATCAAAGCAACGTTCTTGTGGATGGTGACCACGAGACACGAATATGAAGTGTTGCGCGAAGAACTACAGGAGTTGAAGTTCACTCCACGATCACCCGGAGGAAGAAACATCGATGAGATGGCAACTGATAACCTAACAACCTTGGCTGACCTTACTGCCCATATGACAGTATTAGCTTAGTAGATGTAGATTGTCATGGACTGGATGCAAGCCCAAAGCAACCTTACAGTGTAGGCTGACCGAGCAAAGAGCGTCACAGCAAAGGAGAGAGCATCGTCTCCATCTGAGACATGCAACCGCAAAGAAGATGCTTTTGAGTGAAACTTCGCAGCAAGGACTTGACCCTTTCGGGTCAAGGCTCGCATCGACAGACCCTCCTACAACAGCTCGATCAATGCTGAGGTATTAGACTTATGGATAGATCAACTTGATACTTATTTTGATCTATATGACAACAACAGTGAGGATAGGGTGATACCTGCATGACTCAACTTGACCGGACATATGCTCGCATGGTGGAAAGCCTCTCTTCAAACTAACAACAATGAAGACATATCATCGACATGATTCAAAAGGCTCACACGAGAAGAATTCTACCCTATGAGGTATCTCAAGGAAAGATGAAGGAAGTGGCACTACCTATGCCAAGGAAGAGACCACTCTATGCAAGAATACACCATCGAGTTCTGACAAAAAGCGGTGGTACTCTGAATTTCCCTTGACAACCAATCGACGGTGATGAAATACATTGTTGACTTCCATGCCCAGATAAATATAGAACTGAGCCTCTTCAAAACTCACGGCATCATAACCGCAAGCATGATGGTAGCAACAACATCATAATAACGAGCATGAAGGTATCGACGATCGAGAAAAAGAATCAAACCCGCACTGAGAAGAATAAAAAGAAGGCAAAAGGGAAACACTCGAAAGCCAAAAAAACCCCAGGAGTGGTAAAACCACATCTTCCAAAACAAACAATTTGTTTTGCGATAACTGTAAAATTGCAGGTCATACACGGGAGAAGTTCTAGAAGGTTCACCACGAACTCTTCCCGAAGAAATGGAAGAACAATCAAAATCGGCGTCTGACGACCGCTAGCGTAGGAGATGATAAAACAGAATTAGCATCGATTTCACACCCGGATCTGAGTTTATCCTTGATGGCTAGATCGAAGGTTATAAACTCGAATCCGACCCCCAACCTATAAGTTCGAGAAGAATTATTCATTCTCAAGATCCAAATGAAACAAAAGGTCATCGATGCAATCATAGACACCATAAGCCAAAAGAATCTCATCTCGACAAGCTTAGTGCAGAGTCTTGGACTCGAGACCACTCCTCATCCAAAGCTATATCCACTGGGATGGATCCACAAGGACGTTGAGATGATGATAATTCGTTGGTGCATATTCAAATTTGCAATCACCAATAAGTACATTGATGAGGTGACATGCGAGATGGTGCCCTTCGACATATGTCAAGTCATCTTCAGGAGTCCATACTTAAGGGATCAAGAAGTTATCTTCTATTGTCGGCCTCAACAATACATGTTCTTGAAAGACGAAAATAAGTTCATCATTAAGAGGGATTGAAGTGGACAGTCAATTAACCTTATGATGGTCGCCCGAGCAACGAGGATAGTGAACATGTGCTTAAAGTTTGTGCTATTAATCATTTGATCGATTATACTAGCAACACAAACATTAGCCCTGGCATCGGCTCACAAAACCATAGAAGACGAAGTTCTACAGCAACTCATCAGCAAGTACCCGAAGCTCCTTGAAGAACGCAACAAGCTTCCCCCACGGCATGTAGTGGAGCACAAAACCAATTTATCTTCGATGCCCCTTTACCAAATCTTAGCATGTACAAGAGTTCAATCGTGGAAAGCTAAGAAATCCAAAGATAAGTTGCTGAGCTTATCAAGAGCGGCATCATTCAGCCAAGTAGTTCCCCTTGCAACTCAGCAGTAGTGATGGTGCCAAAGAAAGATGGAGGTTGGTCCTTGTGCATCAACTATCACACCTTGAACAAGATCACTGTGAAGAACCGATACCCGTTGCCATGGATCAATAACTTGCTAGACTAACTACAACCTGTCATGGTCTTCTCAGAGCTGGATCTTTAATTAGGATGTCATCAAGTTCGAATCCGAGAAGAAGATACCTAAAAACTCAATGCGGCGCCCGTGCCAACCGTGCCAAATCTGCAGCAACCATTCGAGTTGGAAGCAGACACATCGGGATACGAGATGAGGGCTATTTTGATGCAAGATGGCCGACCCGTGATGTACTACTATTAGATGTTCTAAGGATCTCAAAAGAATTATCACACTTATGGTAAAGAATTGCTTGTGCTACATCAAGCGATTAAATATTGGTGCATATATCTGCTAGGGAAGGAGACGATCATCTACACCGACCATCAACCACTTCAATACCTTCAAACTTAATCCAAATTTTAGCAAGCACGACGCATGAAGTGGATGTCATATATGCAAAAATTCAACATGTTGATCAAGAATAAAAAGAGAGTAGAAAACAAGCTAGCTGATATGTTATCATGACCCTCGATCACAAGTGTTTGCTTGTCTATGCATATGTAGGTCATACCAAGTTTTCATGAGGATTATGCGAACATGTACATGGAAGATCCATAATTCAAAGACATCATGGAGAAAGTCAAAGCAAGAACTAACATATAATTCACACTCCAAGAAGGACTGCTCTACAAAGGTGCTCAACCTTATGTACTGAAGAAAGCTGGTCGCATGAATTAGATGCGAGAAGCAGACTTGTCGAAAGTCATAGGACACTTCGATGTGAACAAGACTTTGATAAACCTACAACGGCATGTTTACTGGCCCTAGATGCAATAAGACGTGGCTCGGTTCATGCAAGGATGTGTCCTTTATAGCACTTTAAAACCAGCAAACCGAAAATTGGATTTGTACACTCTGTTGCCTATTTCGTCATGACCTTTCTAGAGAGCATATCTATAGACTTCTTAGGAGGTCTACCTATAATGAGACGGGGACACAACTATCTATTTGTGGTGGTCAATAGGTTCTTAAAGATGTTGGTGATTATGCCTTGCAAGAAGACAATCACTAAAGTAGCCTGATTATTCTTCCAACACATGTGGACACACTTTAGCCTTTCGAGTTCCATTGTGTCTGACTATGACGGGAGTTTCTTGAGCAGCTTTTGGAGTTTACTTTGGAACATGATGGACACCAAATTGAATAAGAGCACAACCTTCCATCCACAAATCGATGGCCAAACCAAAGAAATGAATCGCATCATGGTTTATGTCCTTCGATGATACAACTTTCGACACCCGAATACATGGAACGAATGTCTTCCGTTCCTTCAATTTGCTTTCAATCGGGCAGTGCATAGTTCTAGTAGCAAATCATCATTTAAGGTATGCCTGGGTTATTTACTTTAAAGTCCTGATTTGCAATTCATAATCAATTCGGAATCAATTACCCTCGACAAAAGTAATGGAACTCAACAAGCCCAGAAATTTTTGGAGAATATCGACAAGGTTCATGAAGAGGTTGAGAAGCAACTTCAACGAAGCCAATATAAATATAAAGAATAACGTGATTGACATCGTGTCAAAGGACGATGCCTTGAAGGAGACCTTGTATGGGTACACCCTAGGAAAGAACAACTCAAAGGAGAAGGAAAGAAGCTAAAGCCCATTCGATATAAACTATTCAAAGTCTTGAAGTGGATTGGAGACAATGCATGCCGATTCGAGTTGCCGCCCTACATGGAGATATACTCAGTTGTGAACGTTGAGAACTTGAAGCCATTCAAGCCTTCAATGCTAGACGATGAGCCAAGCAAGACTTTGCCACATGTCGAAGACTTGGTGACCGACCAAGAGAAGCCCCTTGAAGAGGACACTGCAGTTAAGAAGTACATTACCACTCGACAAGGCATTAAAGTTGTCTTCCGAATTGGATACAAAGGGCAGAAACCAAGTGTAGCAAGATAGTTATTCGAAAAAGTTGCTAAAGCCAAATTTCTTCAACTTCAAAGCAAGATTCAATGGGATGTGAATCGCCCAGTTGGGGAGCAGTGATCAGGGATGATCTCAACACTATTGAGCATTATTCGATCAAGCAAAGCCCAAGAAACAAACAATTTTCTCACCTCAATCTAAGTCCTAATAAGACTCGGATTAGGGCAGCCCTCATCTACGTAGGGGTAACCACCAAGCAATGGGGGTGCAACAGCCCTACAAGAAAAGTAATAGCTATGTGCACCCTACAAGGAAAGCCCTACAAGAGAAATCCTAGTTGCTACGATCCACAAGGAAATTTCTTAAACCTTAAGGACTTGAGGCACCCCTCTCCCTATAAAAACAAGGGGTGTGCCCCCATCTAAAGGGGATCAAGAAAAGCCTTCAGCAAAGAGCCAGTCATCCCTAGTTTTGCATCCTTAGAGCGGCGAGGAGAAGAGAGGGAAGAATTCTGCACCACTACAACCAACTTCTGCAGTAACCAACTTCCTCCAACCGCAGCTTTTGTCCTCACGTTCCAGAAGCTCAAAGCTTCGTTTAACTGCTGTGAGAAGTCCTCAACGCCTACTGCCTGTTGCCCAAACCTCAGGAGGAGGTTTTGACAAAAAAGAGGAGGAGACCGAAGAGCGACAATGACCGCAACCTGCCAAGAGCACCGACGTGCTATCCAAAAACAACCTGCATTTTCAACAACCATAAACTTTCTTTCATGCTTCTATTTCCATTGTTTCAAATCTCATATTATGACTTCAACTTTACAAAAAATTGAGGTTGTTTTCTTTTGATTTTATGCTTGGTTTTTATGCGATAATTCTCTCATTTGCCAAATCTTTCATCCAAAAGGTGATATCAAGTTGACGGATCATCGAACTCAAACTCTATACAGATCATGGATAAAGAATCTAATGATCTGTTAACATTGTTGGGGCAAGGCAGGTGAAATTGAAATCCTTCATTATCACCATTTGTGGTATATTTCATGATGTACTCATAAAATCAGAAGCTAACATTTCAGGATCAAATTAGCTAGACTAAAAGTCTTATTAAATTTTAATTAAACTCAATGTTTCTCTTCAGATAACTAAATTTGATGTGCCTTTGACCACTAACTTGTTTTGAATCTTTGATCACTGCATCACAATTATTTGATGTTTACAATATGGCCACAGTCAACAGATGCAGAGCTTCATTATGCTACGTTGTTTGGCAACCCTACGGACCAACTAAGCTCGTGGCTGAGTGTTCATACCTGACATAAACCAATTATAAGTTCCTATTATCTCTGGTTGAGGCTTCTCAAACCCACTTGTTTTACGGATGTATGTGAATTAAGAATCCTGTAAACTCATCAGGTTACTCAAACATTAGTACCCATTTACTATTAATAATCGTATGCAAGTAATTTTACATATCATCATCTAAAGAACCATTTTTGTTTTACTTCACTCAACAAGGATTTTTATTCTCCCATTAAACTTCATTCAAACTTTTCCTTGGCTATCACAACACTGGAATAGGTGAAGTTTCTGATGATCACAACCTAGTCACTAGTTTAACTGCATAACATAATTATTCATCAATGAAAACAATCAAAAACCTGTTTTTTGGCCTTTTTCTTTCCTTCTAATATCTTCACAACACACGGCTAGCATAGTATCTAATTTAACCTAGAGAGTTATCCACTTGATTGATTCAACTGCATAAGGAAGCTCTCATTTTAGCTGTGGAATGAAAACAAGAGAAACCGATACCCAGAAAGGTTAGTACACTACATTACTCGAAGCAATGGGAGGGAAGAAGGAAGGCCAATGGTAACCTTGCGGATGAGGTGGGGGGAGCTAATGAGGCATTTGGCGCTCCAGAGAGGGTCATTGAGATCCGCGCCGTTGGCCTCGAGCTCCGTCGCGAGCCCGCCGTCGATCACCGCGCAGCCTCCGAGCTCGCGGAGGAAGTCCCTCATCAGCGCCTCCGGGTCGCCGCCCCCAAACCCCATCGCATCTCTATAACACAGAAAGGGTGAGACGGAGGCAGAAGAGGGGAGTGGGGAAGGAGAGGAGAGGAGTGAGGGACGCCGCCATCGCCTTCCCCATTTGTTCCAATCTTAATAGGGAAACAGCAATATTTTTCGTACAACTTTTAACGTACCTATTCTGTTACCCCGTTCCCAGTTGGACTGCCATCAAACCCCACAGTGACTCTCCAATGAAATCCCAAACGAGCACCCTGACTCCTACCTGTCTTACTATTGGAGATTCTGTGGGGCCCAACTACACGACGCAGTTTAAAGTTGTCGTTAATCCAAATCAAATCATGAGGCAGGTAGCATATCGGTAAGTGACAAATGATCCACTTGGAGCGGTGATGTGGAGAAGCGCGCGGTGTCCAGCGATCCGATATCTGTCATGTGAGTTACACGTGATAAGAGGAGATTTTTAGTTTAAAACATTAATTAGTGCAAATGACATTTTAAATATTATAAAATATCGGTGAACTTTATGCATCTGTGATCACTTTGATGATGAATTATTAATCATGCTAGTTTAGTTATTTGTTGGACCTATTATCAACGGGTTCCAGTTGTCATTTGCAGGGTTGATCTAATTGACTGTTTTGTGTTCGTCACTAAGCATCCAATCCCTAAGTGCACAGACTTTACCTTTTCTTTTTCCTTGTAAAAGGAGGCTGCCAACCGCATGCTCCAAGATTCGTGTCCGTATATCACTGACAAGTACCGTAACCACCGCTTAGTCCATCAAATCACACCTTCCTTGAAGTCCCCGCTAAGACGCCTCTGCGTTAACAACGAACTCCATCGCCAGGGTCCCACAAGATACCTCCGTATCGGTCGCCGGGTCCGTTTTCAGGGAACGGTTTCACGTCACTATGGAAAACGGCGTCCGCGCCCGACGAAGAGCGTAACGGAAACCCCCGCCATTCTCTCTCCGGCCCCATTGTATGCTCACCGCGGAACACCGGATTCGTCTAAGCACATCCCATGCTCTGAATATTAACATGTAATGAGATTAAAGAAAGACCGAGGTGAAGTTACCGTTGGTTTCTCGAAGCGGGTGTCGGTAAACCCCGAAGCCCAAGGGAGAGCGCCAAAAACAAAGGTGGCGGTCTCCACCGACTCTGTCTCACTATTAACTCCGCGAGTCGCCGTCCTTTTCTTATCTCGCTCGCGACGTGGAGGCCATTGGCCATATCCTTTTCACCCCAAAAGTCTACGAGGAGGAGGTAGATGGCGACATAGGGCGGGTGGTGGTGGTGGTGATGGTGGGGACGGCCGATTTGGTAGAGAGAGAGAGAGAGAGAGAGAGAGAGGGAGAGTGGAAGAGGAGGATACATTTAGATTGGATCGAGGAGGAGGAGGAGGAGACGGAGGAGGAGGGCCCAAAAGAAGAGAAAAATGGGGTTCCCGCCCATTGGCCCTTCTTGAAATCTTAGAGCGCACTGATAGGAGAGAAAGCCGAGTAAGGCGGGGTAGACGAAGAAAGGGAGATGTTGGGGTGAGCTACCAGAGCTGAGGCGCGTCGCGACGAGATGGACACGCCCGAGCGGGCTAAGATCGCGGGGACGCCGCTCTCCAAGTTCGAGGTGATTCGTGTCTGACGCGACTTTGATCGATCCATGTTGTTCTGTTTCTTGGGATCTCTTTGCTTGGAACGCATAAGGGTTGTTTTGCTTGTGTTCTGAGGGAGGATTGGGTTGGAATGCCTTTGATGCAAGAATGGAGGTTTTCTCGGTTACGTTCGCGTTCTGATTTCGATTCTTGGTTCTCGACGGGAAAAAGTCGTCTGTTTGGTTTCTCTTTCTGCTCTTCCTTTAATTTTACGGCACGGGCCGCACGGTTGCTTGTTGATTTCTTCGTTGCCGTGTTCTTTCTTGTAAGAAAAGCGTTAAAAATGGTCAATTTGGCTACAATTTGCTTGGGATCTTTGATTTCGTGGTGATATTTTGACTGAAATGCGATTCTGGTGTTTTCCACTGTTTTCTCGTGATCCAGACGGAGGATCGTGTCGAGTGTCTTTGATGCGAGATGGGGTTTAGTGGTTCTTGGCTGCATTTTTGCCAAATGCGCTTTCACTCAGTGGGTTTCCACTGTTTTCACATCCTTTCTTGAAAAATGCGCTTAATTTTTCCAAAATTTGCTTGGGATCTTGGCTTGTAACTGGCATAATACCGCCCTTATGTCAGTCTTAGCAGCTTCTTGTGATCCGAAGCGGGATTGAGTTGAGTGTCTCTGATGCAAGAATGGATCTTCGTTAATTTTGCGCTTTGGTCCGCCTGCAAATCTTGGTTTCTTGACGGAAAAGAGTGTGGGCTTTCGGTCATGGTTGTCCTTTTTCTCTAATGTTGACGCCGGACAGAGTTCGGGTTGCTCGATGATCTGCGTCTTCCGTTGGATATAATCCAAGTAAAAGAAGGTGTTTGACATGGTAGTTTCTTGCTACAGTTTGCTTGGGTTCTCGGGTTCATGTGGTGACATTTTGACTGAATTGCCACTTGGTGGTTATCTCTAATTTTTTTCTTGTATTTTTGAAGGAAGATTTATTTTGAGTGGCTTTGATGCAAGTGGAGGTTTGGCTTTAGTTATGTTTTCCTTGTGTTCTGCCTTGGATTATTGAGTTCTTCACAGAAAATGCTGGTTTTTATCAACTTTTGTGTTCTTCCTCTGATTTGAACGATAATGACCGGTCAATGTTCTGAGTGTATTTTGGATGCTTTATAAGTTTAGTCTTTTGATTATGGTGATTTGTTTGAAAGAATGCGTTTCAAGTGGTTTTTTTGTTAAAGATGGTATCTCTGTATGCACAGTGACATTTTTTACTGACTGTTGCTTGGATGTCATCATAACGTTGAGTGTTTCTGATAATGCTGGTCTTAATTGATCCGCATGTAGTTTGGACACATTACGAGTGTAAGGTTTTCTTAATTGTTTTTGATAAAAAAATTTCTTAAATTTGTTATATGTTTTTATTATCACAATTTGATTGGGATCTCTCTTCTTGGTGACATTTTTACTAAATCTGATGTTATTACAGTAATATCTGTGTTCATAGTTTTCAAAAAATTGATTTATTTTGGGTGCGTGCCATAGAAGGAATATATTGATTCTTTCTATTTCTCACCACTAAATTTATTTTGTTCGGTGTTCTGGTTTTTGCTGTCTTCGTATGGTCAATTTTCCATCTAAAGATTAATCTCTGATTGAAGTGACAAGATTTACATGTTTTTGTGATCATGCTGATTTGCTGTCTTCATTGTGCATTTATCACACTTTAAAAGAATTTTGAGGATTCCACCATGTAATCCAAGAATTACTTCCAATATCTTACTAGATTTCTGCAAAATCCTAAGTTTTGCGATGCCATTCACCTTTCAAAAGCAATTTTCTGACTTATTGTTCCACCTAAGATTTAATATTTTATCCTTGGTAGCCTCTGACTGGTAGAACAACCTGTGTAACTTGTTGCTAGCTCGGATGCTGTATGACATCAGTGTGCTTGTAGGTCAATGACACGGAATATACTACTGTCATGTATGTAACATGTCGATGCCGAAACATTTGCACATTTGATATATAGATAGGTGAATTTGTTTTCTCTATAGACGCGGCTGTGCCAGCTTGTTGCTTGCATGGTGCCCAATATGTTTCATTGCATGACCAGCAATTTGCTCAGATTAGTAGTAAGGTATGATGATTGAAGTTCATTTATACTGGTTGGTCTTGTTACCAATATTATTATTTCTTTTTCTTGGTAAGGTATGCATCTTGTAATTTGATTGGTAAGTACCATCGACATTCTCATGCTGCATTTATGACATGTTGTTGGTTTTGCACATTATTTACTCAGTGTGTCTTGTAATTTGTTTAGCAAGTATCATCAATATTCTCATGCTGCATTTTCGATGATCTATGACATGTTGTGGGTTTGACACATTATTTTGCTTAGTGATTTCATTTTGTATTGCAGGATTCACCAATCTATAACTTCATCAATAATTTGTCTCCTATCCAGCCTGTCAAGTCGATAGATTCAGTACCTATTGCACATACACATCAACCATTGAACTTTGCTTCTCTTTCTTCCATATTTAGTTCACCACATGACAATCCTCCAAGGGAAACTAGGTTTTTGACAAGGTGATAAACATTTTTCTTATATTTTAAGGTTATTATTTCAATTTGATTCCCATTTCGTGATGATTTTTTTCCCTGTTCTCAGGCATCCTTTCACAGACTATTTCAAACAAGAAAATTTTTCAGACAATGTTGGTGAAAGTAGCCTATGCCCAGAGGTTTCTGATGCTGGTAGGCCATCCGGATTCACTTCCAGCTCACAGGAAAATTGCACTATGACATGTTCACTTAATGAGGCTACTGTTGATCCTCCTGATGAATGCCCAGCCCTCCCTAGTACCTTTCCTCAGTCTACACAATATTATTCAGGTAGTCCTGACCATAATGTGGAACCATGCCTTGGTATTAAAATGGATCTTAAGCTCGATGTAGGACATACACCAGTGGAGTTTCACTTTGTTCAAAATGGGGTAGAAAGGCGAAAAGTTTTGTTTGCTATGGAGGATGGGGTTCAAGAAAATCTTCCACTTGAGCTGAACAAAGACAAAGGAGTTGGGTGTGTCTGGGAAAGTTTAATCCCTGATGATGGTCAAAGTCTGTTGATATTTGATTCATCCACAGAATCAGAGGCCCACAAAGGAGTGAGTGAGAAAGCTGTGGACAATGATGGGCATTCCATTGTTTCTCTGTTGTCAAACTGCACAGAGAATGCTGATCATCTACAGAAAACAAAACCTGATATCTCTCATGGCCCTTGTGTCCATAATGTCAACCAAGATCCTTCTCAGAACTGTAGCAAAGTTTTTGAGAAGGAAGATGAAACAGATCATGCTACAAAAATGTTGTCAGATATGTGCCATGATCAGGTAATATTGAGTTATCCAATTCAGAAAATGAGTGATGTACTTGTTATTGCATCCCATTGGCAACATGGTAGTTCTTTATCATTGTTATTTGTTTGATTTCCTCTTGCTTCTTTGTATCTCAGTTTATATTCTCAATCTTCACATCCCTTTTCTTGTTGTTGTTTATGCATTCTTCCTACATGGACCGTGGACTGAAGTTTACATGCTTTTGTGGATCTTATGTTGTCATGGGCTATAAAACTTTTAACACTTTTTTTACCCTTTTATTGTTAGAGGAGTAACCTGTTGAATGGTTAAGCACCAAGTAGTTTCTTTTCCCTTCTCATGGGGGTTCTGACTGATTGCAAGAGCCTAAAGCACTTTACATATATTTGAACTCTACTAAAATTGTGTGATTTTCTTAAGTTAATATATGTATCATGTTGTCATCTAATATCTCTGCAGAAGATTTTTAAGATGCATTGCACCTGTTAGTTTGTTTGGAGTTTTGAATCATCATTTCATGTAAATGAAAAATAAAAGAACTTACAATTGAAATTTCTGTATTTAGTTGACCTGCTCACTATTGTCGTTGAGGGGATTTAGAGTGGATTTCTTCATGTTTTTTCAAAGGGTAATGGGTCATTCTATTAAATACTACACACATGTCACTCTCCTACAGCAAAGGCAGGGGAGATGGTCTCTGGATGCTGGTAGGCGTTAGTTAAACTAAAGGAGTTTAGATTATAGCCAAGCTTGGGTATCACAGTCTGCTGAAGACCTGCCCATCCCCACACCACACTGTATGAAGCTGATCATTGTGCCTTCATTATGGAACTTGGTTATCTTGAGTGCATCGAGTATGTTTTCGTCAATATGCAGGTGCAGTAACTGTTGCCATTTCTCTTGTTAGGTCGACAGCCACCAACAACGTGGCATGCGCAGACGCTGTTTGGTTTTTGAAGTGGCTAGTGTTTCTAAAAGGAATATGTATAGTGACTCCAAGCTCAACCCATTGACTTCTTTGTCATTCAAAGGCAAGAGCGTTTGTGACACCAAGAATTTGAAACCTGAAATTAGAGAATCACTGTATGCTTTGCCGGGTATTGGATTACATTTGAATGCCCTTGCAACAACATCAAAGGATAGAATGGTTAATAAGGAGACTCTGGCTTCTGAGAAACAAATAATCAGCAATCCTTGCTCTGTTGGTTCCTTGACATCAACAACAGCTGGGAGGAACAGTCTGAGGAAGTCCTCAGCTGTCGAGAAGGATCTCTGTCCCAGTGGGAGTGAAGTTGACCTTCAGATTGTTTCCGATGATGCTCCAAAGGATGCCACACCTAATATCTGTGAGGAATTAAGTCAAGGCAGTCCAAAGAAGAAAAGGTATGCTGCTGTATGTGATCCTGGCTATCGCTCTTTTATTTTTTCACTTTATCAATAACAATGGAACCTCATTTCTAGACGCAAGTCAGGAAATGGAGGCGAAAGTGACGGATGCAAGCGTTGCAACTGTAAGAAGTCGAAATGCTTGAAACTGTGAGGCTCTTTTATTTCATCTGAATTTGTTATAGATATGAAATTATTAAGAGCTTCAGTTAAGATTTGTTCTTTTATATTTTTCATCTTGCTTTCATATACTGTACAAGTATTTCCTAATTATTTGTTACTTTTATAAGAAAGATAAAATATCTGATATGCCTTCTATTCCAAGCACAAAATTAAGACTACCTATTGTAGTTTTATGTTTTCCATTTTCCAATTGAATCTGTTATTTTTTCTTGTCACTTACAAAGCATATGCAGTCTGAGTAATACTAAGTTCTAGCATTGAATTGAATGTTGGCATCTTATGTAGCTATTGCGAGTGTTTTGCTGCTGGAGTCTACTGTTCTGAGCCCTGTTCTTGTCAAGGATGTTTTAACAAACCCATCCACGAGGAAACAGTCCTAGCTACTCGCAGGCAGATAGAATCTCGTAATCCACTTGCGTTTGCCCCAAAAGTAATTCGAACATCTGAATCTGGTCTGGAAATGGGGGTAACAATCCAATCTGATACTTTTCTTTTGTTTTTCTTTTTCATGTCTCCCACTATTGGTTTACATAAGATCATCCCTTTAACACCTCTAGGATGATGACAAAAAGACTCCTGCTTCAGCACGTCATAAAAGAGGGTGCAATTGCAAAAAATCAAATTGCCTGAAGAAATACTGTGAATGCTATCAGGTTTTGTGGCTCGAGCAACCAGTTGCTTCTACAATAGTATGTTGTCTGATTTGGACATACTTGTGGTTTTTTTTGTCTTTTAGGGTGGTGTTGGATGCTCCATCGGCTGCAGATGTGAAGGATGCAAAAATTTATTTGGAAGAAAAGATGGTGAGTATTGGTATTTGCCTTTTTTCTAAATGAACAACATAGCAGTTACATAGAGGAAAGACCACTCGTTTGCTTCTTTGATAAATAGGTGAAATTTCTAATTATTTTGAATATCATGGCCTACAAACATAGAAAGGAAACAGGGTATCCTATCCTGCTCACGTTTGGTTCCACATCAGAGAGCCAAGGTTGTTTAGGAGAAAACTTTTATGATTTTGTTGTATATTTTGTTATAGTTATCTTCTTTCGCCAGTTCCTATATATATATATATGATATAACAGTGCATTTGATATGCTGTGAATAGATTTAAATCGAAATTTGAAGTATTCTCAAGCGCAATTCATTGTTTTGTTTGGTTTGTTCTGGCCTGAAAGTTCTTTGACAGGTTTTCTGCCACGATTTGAAGAACTTGAACAAGCAGAGAAAGAAGCCAATGCTTGTGAGAAGGAAAATGAAAGTCCGGGTGATGATCAACAGAACACCAGCATCCAGATCGACGAACATCATTCTTCAGGACACATTTTACCCATTACACCTTACCAGAGCTGCAGGTGAAACATTCTGTCCTTGTTCTGATAGCTTAGACTTCAATCTTGTTCTCCACACAAATAGCTAGCGAAAATTTATTTTCCTTTTTCAGGTTATCAGTCGAACTGCCATTTTCTTCAATTGCAAGCAGCACAACAAGTACTAAGCTCTCCATCGGACGTTCTCCTGCATTATATGGCTCTCACATGCTTCGGAAGTGCGAAATGGTTCTCCCTCCACCTAAGTTGGAAAATAATGTGAGCACAGTGGTGGAGGATGACACTCCAGCTATTCTAAGACCCACTGTATCACCCACCACGACGGGCATTAGGATTGCTTCCCCTAACCAGAAGAGGGTTTCACCGCCACACGGTGGAGTTGGGTTGTCGCCGCCAAGCCGTAAAGGTTGCAGGAAACTGATACTGAGATCCATCCCCTCCTTCCCACCGCTCGGTAGCGATGTATCAGCTGAACATCCAGTGAACTATTCCAACAGCTCTTTCGGTTCATCTACCGTCATTTGATGTGTGGAGGTATTAAATCGAACACATTATTTACTCCTGTTTTCTACTTCGTATCTAAAGCATCCGTGAATCTACAGTCATTGTGACTCTGAAGGGCTGACTGCCTGCCATGATATCTGCCTATGCATGAGATCGATGCGGTCAATAAACACCTTGGCAAACTCCAGCAGTCTGTCTCGGAAAAGATACGGTGTAAAGTTAAAATGTTTTATTGCTTGTACTGTTAATGCCGGATAGTTTCGTCCCTCATGTATAATTCTGTAACAGGATGATGCTCTTCGACATTTTCTGTATCTCAATCACATATCTTTCTACTTCTGTATCACTGTGGCTATGTGATCATCACACTCGGAAGCATGTGTTAATAAGTCGTACAAGACTATTCTTACCAGAAATCACAAGAAATTACAGTCAACCCACAGCTTCGAAAAGCAGCAAGCAGCAGAAATAAGAAGAAGAAGAAGAAGAAGAAGATGATGACTTACGTGAAGCCGCAACAGTACCGACACCCTTATTTCGATCTATCCACCAACGCCAACGACAATGCGAATACAACTCGATCGTAAACACAATCTCATGCACCATTCCACTCTAATAATGCACCGGCGGTGGAGGTGGCGCCATGCAGCCGTTGGCGTCACAGTGTACCGGCTTGGACGAGAACGCGATGCACTCCTCCTCCGACCTCTGGTGCGGCCGCTCTGGTATGCAGTTCTCCCGGTCGTCCCTACTCCGGACCTTCAAGCACCGCTCCGGCTCCCCGCAGAAATAGTTGTAGGAGTACGTGAAGTTCTTCAGCCTCGGCAGCTCGCATATGCTCTCCGGTATGTCGCCGGAGAGGTTGTTGTGCGCCACGTTCAGCTGCTCCAGCTTCCTCATCTCCCCGATGCTGTCCGGCAGCGGCCCCACGAGGTTGTTGAAGCTCACGTCGAACACCGTCAGATTCTTCAGCTTCCCGACGTCCTCCGGGATGCACGACGTGATGCTCGCGTTCAGCAGTATCAACTCGTTTAGGGTGTCGGCCAAGTCGGTGATGCTCCTCGGGAAGCAGCCACTGATCCGGTTGTTGGCCACCACGAGCACCGAGAGGGAGGAGTTGCCGATGCTGTCCGGCAGCGAGAACGCGAACTGGTTGTCGTTGAGGAACAGCGCGTCGAGCCTGAGGTCGAAGACCCGGCGGGGGACCTCGCCGCGGAACCTGTTGAAGCGGATGTCGAGGTACTTGAGCGACGGCAGGTGGAGCACCACGGCGGGGAACGGCCCCTGGAACCGGTTGTTGCTCACGTCGAGCTCGTAGAGGAGCTGGAGGCGCTCGAACGCCTCCGGGAGGCCGCCATGGAAGCGATTGGAGTTGAGGTGGAGGAGCGCGAGGTCGGAGAGGAGGCCGAGCTCCTCGGGGAGCGTGCCGGCGATCCTGCCGTGGTTAAGGTCGACGCCGGCGACGGTGAGCTCGTGCCGGTCTTCGGGGGCCGGCGCGCAGAACACGCCGGTGTAGTTGCACACATGCGGGCCACACCAGTCGAGAGTCAGGTTCTTGGGGTCGGCGGTGATGGCGTGCTTCCATGCTTGCAGGGCGACGTAGGCCTTCTCCAGCCTCGGGTTGATGGGCAAATAGTCTTCTGATAGAGAGAGGAAGGGGAGGAAGAGGAGTAGGAGGATGCACACCAAGGCCTTGTGGAGGCTTGTAATGGTGGCCATGTTCTCTGCGATTTGTGATGCTTGCATTGAGACTATGTCTTGCAGCGTGTGTTGGGGTGTGGATATATATACACTGATACAGTACTTGCAGATTGACCATCCTTTTCTTTTGGGTTTGGTCCCATTGATGGGAGTACAATGTTGGAGGAGTGGTCCCTTCTGGTGAGAGAAAGTTTGCCTTTGTTCATTCTTGTGAGGACACAGCACACTGCCTACAGGCATGGAATGAAAGATTTCCATGTCCAGCTTCTATGGGAAAACAAAGTGGAAGAGGAAAGGGAAGATTGAATTGTGGGTGTTACTCAAATTGCTACAATTCAATGTTGTGTTTGCTGACTAATTCTACTCTGCTAGATGTTCTCGACTTGTGGCTCTCACCAAATACACACGCCTTGGTTCCTATCTAAGCTTGAAGACAGCTTAAGAGTAATAATATATTGGATGCATATAAGTGTGGTGAAACTTTCAAGACTTTGGGCAATGTGATGTATAATGGACGATATCAGTCAGTATAGGCTCTGCTGGAATCTGCTAACATTTCAAAGAGCAACGAGTCCTGTTCCAATGATCAGAGAGGAGTCGAAGAATCCATTCCGTTGATTTGTATCCGTTGCCAATGAGTGCAAGCATTGAGATGAAGCCTTCGACATGTGAGCTGAATCCATGTACGCCTTAAAGAGCCAAATGCAAGCACTCTGTTTGTGGATCTAACCAAGGTTTTCTCACAAGCTGTCTTGCTATTGAATCCCACAATCCTAGTTTCTCTTATGTGCTTCGTGCAACCCTGGTTCTTCTAACAAGAATTATTTTGGAAAATCCATCTGCAGGACTGAGCGAAGATCTACAGCAATGTTTGCAGCTCGATATTATCTTCTCGCCTATTCTTCAGCTGTCTACCGAGCTCGGATTACTCATGATCTATCTGAGGCATCTCAATGAACAAAACTACAGTTGTCTTGATTGTTGGCATGACAGCGATCAATTTGATGCCCTGGTTTTCTCTTAAAATCTTCACGAGGGAGCGATCCATTTGAAGCATCCACATCGATGTTGGTTTGAGCTTGAAATAGTGAAGAAAGTTGGCCAAATGCTTAAAGAGAATGTGATATGTCCTACAACAACAAACAAGGATAAACACGTTACATTCATCAACAACTACCGCAAATTCCTTTGATCTCTTCAAAGGTATTGTAGAGCATTCCATTATCCTACGTTATCTTGCTCTTTAATGGCATTAAGCAACCAGACCTCTCAACTTTTCGGCGAGCTAACCAAAGATCAGCATTCTACTTGCTGCAACCCGTTCTGTTGTTGGTACTGTCATCTTGTTGTTCTCGCAGAACTTTTCATGCTCTCGATTCAGAATTGCCTTCTAACTTGAGGAACTTTTGCTTGTTCATGATCTTCTTAGTCACTTCCTACGACAAACTGAACGAGAAGAACTGCTAATACTTATTCCTGAATCATACATTTCACATCTTCTGAACTGATATTTGCCTTTCGGTGCTGCTCCTCAGAAAGGCCACCGGCATTATCGAGTTTAGGCATAGTTTGGCTCATGATTTTGACAAGCACCATATGCAACTTCAGCTTCATCAAGCATGTGGTTCATCTTCAAGGAAAATTACTTGTGCCAAATAATAGTTCTTCAGACACCTTCTTGACAGCTGAAGAGAACCCATTCTCTATCTCAAGTTGAATCATACACATTTCCAGATGCCATTCAATTTGATCTCCATCTAATTACGTCCTCTGCTGTTTTATCAATGTATGAAAGCTTCGATCAATTATGATCACCAAACAAATCTTACTGGTTGATGTTGCAGTCTCTGAACTCATTCAAAATTTTGGAAGTAGGATCCTAAAGCTTCTTTACATCACCATAAATGATGTTTTACGATATCGAGCACAGAAAACTAAGCTCATTTGTCACATCAATAACCAGGATCTTCACTGCTGAGAGCCACTAGAGTAAATCATAAGCCAGAGTCTAATCTTTCTTGGATCAACATAATTGTGTTGTTTGATCATGTATTGTTGTCATGTCATATTGTTTGGTACGCTTGTTGTAAGATTGATACTATTTGGTGGTCGATCCCTTTCCTTGCTTGGTCGGTGGGTTATTGCCTTCGTCTAAGCTTAAGATGGTATGTGACGGTGTGAGTGAGCCATTCAGGTTTTAATTTCTTGCTCTCTAAGGGACAATTAAGGCCAAAGACTTGGGGGTTTGTAAGCAATCCTTTTGCCACAGTCCTTTGAGCTTACTCTTCCTTTAGGTTCAACCTTCTGTTGGCTTTTCACAGTCTCTGTCTACCTTAGGCCTAGTGTCATTTTCAATCTATGTCTTCACTATTACATCAGGCTTCATGGTCTCATCTCTTTAGCAAAAGCAAAAAAGAAGCATCACTTTATTCTATGATCATCTTCTCCTTGTTTCTTTGGAATCCTCAACTCCTCAAAGCTTCGTTTCATTGGTGTCTGATTCAAGGTCCAACTTGCTAATTGTCAGCTGTCTCATCAGGTTCAATTCTGATGGACATGTGATCAGCAAACAAGACCTTCTCAAGATCAAGGCATTGGTCCGAATGCGATACTTTTCGGTGATCGTGTTCGATCATTCACCGAAAAATCTCTTGCTGGATGATCATGATCAAGCATAATCTCAAAAGTGAAAGTTGGTCTAAAAGGTCAGGAAGCTAAGCTCTCATTTCATGACTAGATCAGATGGAGGCAAAACCCACAGACTCCAGTAAAGTAGATTGTTGGCATTGCCTGGTTTCTGATTTCTCTACTGGCCTAATGATGCGTTCTACCCTCTGAGATCAAAAGTAGGCATGACAAATGAATCTTATAAGATCTGGTGAGCTACTGAAACACAATTTGCCCAATAATGGCAGAATGCAGAAGGCAATATGACAGTAATTCTTTGATGAACAGGAAGTGATTTAGTGGTTCAGGTTGTAGACTATGTTTTTATGTTTGGCTTTTTATGGTTGAACACAAACCTGTGCTAAATGTAATAAATAGGTTCTTCATCTTTCCTCTCGAGTTCAATGTTATCATCATGCTAATGGTTAAATGACGGAAATCGACTACAGTGGTATGTTTACAAGTTTTCGAATTTTAAGTTTATAAGGATGAATATGACAAGTACTAATTTTGGAGAGCTATACATATGAAGTTCTATATACATTTTTCTTATTTTTTTTTAATAATGCCAGATAATGCAGATTGATATACCAGTCGAATTTGTTATCAGAGCATATATCAGATATTTAAATCCATAATCAGATGCAGATGACCCCAGTTGTTATCTATACGCTGAAGTGCTCAATAGTTGCAATACTAACTAATAACATTGACTTGTTTTGGGCATGATTAGCAAGAAAAAGTAATTATTAGGGAAAAATTATTATTGTTATCTTGGTCAACCCAATATGATCCAAACTCATATGAGTATGATTATTCGAAGTATCTCCGAGATGACTTCGAGGTGGAGGTGTCAAACTTTCGAGATGAAAGTATTACACTCACCAAGGTGAAAGTATTGTGCTCCTGAGGTAGAAATATTACGTTCTTAAGGTGGCACTTGCATGAAAACTAGGATCGAAGGAGATTTTTCGA